CTGCCTCACCTCTATCTCTTTCTGCAGGTTTAGTGGAGTGTCAAACCTTAGGCGGATTGCAAGAGGATCATCTTCCGGCCTAGTGAGATCAAATACAATAAATTCATTTTTTCGAAGGTAGCTATTAATGACCATTGAGGCATTTTTTACATCATCAGTATATCGCCTACTTCATGCGAGCTACCGGAGTTAAAAATTACTAAATGAGAGGCATTTTCACGCATGAATGTATTGATTTTATCGTAAAATATGTTAGATGAAGTACTGCACTATAAATTATCACTTGACATACTTTACTACGCCACACGATTTCTTCTGTGCAATTTTGACGAGCCCGAACAAGCTTTGTCCAGACTCTACCATCAGAAAAAATAGTATTTCTTGCATTTTCTTTGTATATCTGCTCATGTTGGGCGTTAACCAATATAAATTTGATCGCTATACTAGTTTGCTACTTCCAATAAGATTTCGAATAAAAAATCATGACTAATTTGCTGACTACTGCGTCAGATGATTAATACATTCTTCTGAGGTCACCACCGCATTTTTTTTTCGGCAATGAGTAGTTATGGAAATACTCGCTGGAAGTTTAGGCTTCCTTACTTTCAGGAGAATGAAAAATGGAACCTGGTGGAATTTTTACAATGGAGTATGATACAATATCCAAATGATTTCGGTAATAAAGAAGAAGAACACAGGACATATAAGATTTGTTTGGAACAACTCATTCATAATCCCCATTTACTGAAGTCTCGTAGCAGTGAGCTTGTTCAACAGCTGGCCTCAAATTGTTTGAACTCATTCGAGGTTTGTACTTTGTTTATTAGTTTTATTTCGGGACCACAGTAAAGGCTAGGTTGCGTCCGAATTTGATCTAGTCGAGTCTAGAGCAAGTGCCTTGCTGTGCCCCCGGCACTAATTTTTTCGCTGAAAGTGCTAGGTTGCGTCCGAATTCCCGTGGTTGCGTCCTTGGGTGCACTTTTATCTTTGGTTGCGTCCAAAGATTTACAGCTTCCCCCCTTTTCATTATATTACTACACATTTAGAAGACTACAAGTTCCAACAAAGTAAAGAAGTTTTGGGAAAATAGCTTAACTGTTATGGAAACGTTAAAAAACGCGTCAATTATAAATTCAAAAAATGTAATCCAACAAGTGCTAGATTTACAGACCGATTTCAATGAGGCGCTTACTAACACTACACGCGAGAGTATAAAACCTGGTAATTCATTCAAAACCATCTACATTATGTTATGTATTATATATTTAATCTTTTCTCTATGGTGCGGAATAATAGCTTTGAAACGGAAGTCAACAGTCATAGATGAGTCAGATTCTGATGCCACGAAAACTGATGAGTCAACTGTTTCCAATGCTCCCGAAGACATTGAAGATGTTCTTACGGGAGACAATATTATTGATGACGAACAAGTAGTAAGTTATATAACTTTTCTATTTTTCTTCTTATATTTTGCATTGACATGTAATTAATTTGCTTCCTTCGGCCTTTTTGTTGAATGCACTGATAGAAAGAGCATAATCTTGAGAAAAGCTGGGAGTTCAAAGAACCAATTCCTGGCTGGCTCAAACTGCTTCATCAACATCGCGAAGATCTTGCTACCACAACAATTGGCCTCAAATCACTTTCTCAAGTAGCAGAAACGTAAGTCCACAATTATATATTTTTTACTATAATCAAAATATATGATTCTGAAATCTTTCTATTGTTAGTGCCATTTGGTGGCGTATCATTGACAC